TTATTGTGGTAAAACACTACACCTGTTTTGTTGATTAATTCTGGCTGTCTTTTCTGTTTGATATTACTCAATTTGTTTACTCGATGGCAGTACACTTTTGAATCAATTGTTAAATTATCTGGTAAAAGCTCCAAAAAAATTTCCTTAAAATCCCACCAAAGAGAGCATCTCTCTTTAAGAACATGTGGAACCCATATACCGAGCTTTGAAACGAAACCAATTAGTTTCAAGTAATCATAAACGGTTCAATACACCTTCTCCATACACATCACACAATTTTTTTCTCGCTTGAACAATATTCTTACCTTTTTGGTAATAAAAGAGCAAAATATGCCAAAAATGCTGCTTTCGATCTTCCATATTTGATGGGACACAAAAAATAAACAGTTGCATGAAATCGAACAAAATTTTTTACAAATAAGCCTTAAAATGCTAGCTGTCAAAATATATAATGATAATACGGTTTAGAATGAAAATGACAAGAAAAATACAACTAACCCATCTAGTGGTAAAAAAAAAAAAACGAACTTACTCTCCGAACAACCTAATAGATGACTGACATTTGGTCTTGCAGCAAAACGACTGATCGAACAATAGGAATGACTCATATTATACTTCCTAAAGCACATTCCTCAAGAATTCCAGCTTAATGAATGATGTTTCATGTAAGATAATCTCAAAGTCATTGAAGTGTTCTACCATCAAAGCTGAACTCTATTTCAGAATATCTAGTGCTGAACTATTCACAAAGTTTACTGGGCATTTTCAGTGCAATGATCCTTTAATACATAAACTTTATAGTGAATTGCTTACAATTTGACATGTTATATGGAGACACATTCTAGTAGTTATGTTACTCTTCCATTTCCTTTGCAGTATAACGGTAGGAACTCCGTACGGGGCACATGAAAACTTAATGCAAGCCCGTTCTGGCTTAATGCAGTCTTACTGGTCACTTTTCTGGAGTATAAACTCAGCCTAACTATTTTCATATTTCATTTTTTCAGTTCAATTAATTAAAAATCAATCTAATATCATATGCAATGTTATTGATACAAAATGTGTGTGTGTTTGTGTTTTTTTAACAATGCCTCTTTTAGTTCACTTTAACACTTAGTTTTTTTTAGCTTTTTTTCAGTGTGAACTCTCTTTTTTCACTTTTTTTCACTGCTGTGACTGCTTTAAACCCTGTAAGTACAAAAGGTGTCATTGTGTGTGTATATATTTTAATTAGTTCCAGTACAAAGCTTAAAAATTTATATCTGATGCATTTTCAGAATTGTTATATTTGTGAGCTGCAAATAAACATATGTATTATATTATTCCCCATAAAGGCAGAGCAGGTGTTCCTGCATTCAGTGGTCTGTTTTTACAAGGTTTGTTAGTATAGGAAAGTACATAGAGTTAACACTAAGAAAAAAGTATGTGGCTACTGTTTTAGTAAGGAAGGATTTCTGTATGTCAGATAGCTTCTTGGCTGAACTTTAATCAGTCCACAGTGTCTCATTTGCTTTATAAGCTTGCCAAAATGGGCTCTATAGTAAATAAAATTTAATTGACAGAAAATAATATCCACTCTCATCCTTGAGAAAGTTTTGAAATGTTTGTCTCAAAAATCAACATCCATAAACTTGAAAGTTGATTGGAAAGACTGTATTGGTGTAAAAGTGACTTCAGTAACAATGAGGAGATTTTCCCAATCGGGACTCAAAGGACATTGTCTCAAAAAGAAGCCCCTTTCTCCAACAAAGAAAATGGAAATGCAGCAGCTTTAATAGGGTAAAGAACATCTTGGATGGTCTAAAGGTGTGTGGAAGAAATTTGTTTTTTCAGACAAGTTGAAATTTGAGCTGCATGGCTCAGATGGCAACTGTATGTTAGAAGACTGCAAGATGAAGAATTCTATCCTAATTGTGTAAAGTTGTGGTTGAATCATCCATTAAAGCTTATGATCTAGGTGTTCTTCACCAAGGAGTTGGCTGACTACATTTTGTAAATATAGTTGAGGAACATTAATTCCCACAATTTTTGAAGAAATTAGTGCATCTGTTAAGATGCCTACTTCTTGTTACAGAACAACATAAAATGGTAAGTACAGTAGGTGCTAATTATTGTAATCATTTAGGGACTCTATTGTAATAAATAATTCATCCAGTATTGATTACCTGCTACCAATTTCAAAATAGCTAGCCTAATGCCAACAGTTTAAAGCTAATAGTGGTTAAAATAACTAACTTAAAGCACTGAATAAGTTTCAGTAACAACTAATAACTACTACAAGTTATCGGAAACATAGCAAGGCTGCCATTATAAAAAAGCATAAAGCACATACACAAAGATAATGATAACAATAACCAAATTCTGATTATAATAAGTAAATACAGTTGACCCCCCTATAACACGGTAGATATGTTTCGTTCTTTATGAAATTGATGTTTTACGAGTCCTTGAATACATGAGCCAATCACAGCCTGGCAAGTATTCAGTTTACAGACTACGGCTGTTTGAAAGGTTTTCTTCCATAAAATTAATTGCTTCTAGACTAATTTGACTCAACATTTCCAAAATACGTATAATTTTTTGGGAATCTTCCATATAAATTATGCTATAAACAAAAAATTGTAGGATTACTTACCGAGTGTGCACTGTTCGACCGCGCCGTTGCTTAAGCTTGTTTTTGTCATGGAGCTTGTCATCGAATGGTGCTCGCATGCTTCCTGATAAATTATTTTTTTTTTGCGAAAAATTCGCTGAACTTTGGAGACATCATTAATATAAATATAATTTTTATGGACGTTTAATGGTTTTTAGTAGGTCCGCTACTCGTTTAAACTCAACAGTTTGTACAATATCCGCTATTGGTCTAGATTTGACCGATTCTGTCGCGACACGAGTCAGCGATGATGTTTTACTGAATTATACAAGTTTTTTTCGCATGTTTGTACGAATACTGTCGCAATTTTGTCGCCGTGATATAGGAATCTGAACTATATGAACCCGTGTTATGGGGGGTCTACTGTATTTCATAACATACTTTGGAACCTGCTAATTTTGATAACATTAACTGTGATTATAATAAGAAGAGTCTACAATATCACCAAAATTTTCTCACAAATAGTTGAATATTGATATTTCTCTACATTTTTCTAATGTTATTTTCTGAATGGGTCAAAAATTAGTCTGTTACGATATGCATCCAGACTTAAACCCGGTTGAAAACTGTCATAACCAAATAGACAGGATTGTTGCATATAAGAGGCTCTATGCCTGTTGTCAGCTTCATGAAGCACTTGTAAACATCTAATACTACAATTTTTTACTGGATTACATTATAAGTCTTATTTTGTTTACAGCTTAGCATTCTCATGCAGTCATCAGATAAGGGATCAAGGGCCTGGAATCTGTAATCTCTATATTTGATAAAGCATTGTCAAAAATTTTTCAAACAAACCTAGAATAGATTGAGAAAAGTGTATTTTTTCAAACAGTACCAAGCCTTGTGTTACTGGTTGATGGCTGCAGTGGCTTGTGTTAAGCACTAAGGAACTGCAACATCCAAGAGAAAAATAAAATCACAAAATAATTTCTTGATTTTTATTATGTAGTAATTATATAAATTATTGTACAGTAGTTGATTAAAACTGACAATTTTTTAATCCGAATAACATACAAAATAAAAAAGATTCTATTGGTGCAATACCATCTCCCATTTGGAGAACAGTCCCACTTGTTTAGTCACACTAACCAAGCAAAGAAATGCTTGAAATGATACTTCACTAGTTACTAGTGTTGTTGCAAACAGTATAGCTGTAAGGCAGGAATTACCTACTGAGTTGGTGCAGTACTTTGTGATCCATAAACACTAATATGAGAGATGAAGGAGAAAAATTTTGAATTAATTAATTTTATTTTAATTAAATTAAAAATTATATATTTTATGAGTGCAATATAATTTAAAGTAATGGTGGTGGTGGTTGTGGTTTCTCAGTAGTACCCATGAGACACCGCTGGTTGATGATTACTCATACAAATCATTTATGAAGCAATATAAACATGTTGAGGATATCACATGATATGAAATTGTGTAGTAAGTCAGTTTGTATCACTTGACACTATCAAAAATGTTGTTGACACACTAACTCAAGAGTAAGCAACCAGATTTGGATCCATTTGAGTGTAATCTTAGGTTAAATAACTCATGTATGCTTCTTTAACTACAAAATGAAGGAATGGAAAATAAATATGGTGCCCTGATTTTTGGTTTTTAATGTCACTCTCATTAGAGCTAGACTCCAACCAATTCCGAATTCTATCGGGCTAGATATGGCTAATTACTAAATAAATTATGCAACCAATTTGGCACTAGAGGGAGGCATTAGAATGCCATCTCTTAATAACTTATCACTCTCACTATCAACAACTATTCTCACTCTACTGTAGGATGAAAGTGTCTCTAAGGGCTTATTTATATATCCAGTGTTTAGTGAGCATCAAAGCATTATTGTATTTATACTTGACAGCAAGTGAATGAGTGAAGAAATTGTCGTTATGCAGCTATAAAGATGGTACAGTAGTGGGCATTTGCATGCCATCAATTCACTCAATCTGATTGGTTCAGCAGTAAAGCAACAATTCTGAAAACATTTATTCATTTACTCACTCTTCACTATAAGTATAAATGACTACATTAGAAATGAATTGAGTACAGTAATTCATTTGTTGCTCATTCACTAAATGCTGGAAGTGTAAGTCCTAAGAGTCTTTAATTAAACCATATTTATTCAACAACTTCCATGTTCGGCAAATTACCTGATTTATTCCTTCTTTTCATTTTTACATGAGTTTATTTTCTAGCCTGCTTTTTGTTTTAGCAAACAGGAAGAGGAAAACAGGTTCTGTTATGCTCTTTCTGCTATACCATATTGAATGTATTTTCAATTGAATCTTGATATGCAAAATATTTCTGAACTGTCACTAATTATAAAATATTTTAATTACAGAATTCTGTACGACACAATCTTTCTCTCAACAAGTGCTTTGAAAAAGTGGAACCACCAGTCGGTAACGGTTCTCAGCGTAAGGGTTGCCTATGGGCAATGAACCCAGCCAAAGTGGTAAAGATGGATGAAGAATTACAGAAGTGGAGTAATAAAGATCCTATAGCCATTCGTCGGAGTATGGCAAATCCAGGTAGCTCTTGCCAATTAAAATTTATAAGGAAATTAAATGCATAAATTGTATCCATGAAAACAGAAAACTTACCTTAGTCTTCTAAAATATTCATAGAACGGCTATCTCTTCTGGAAAAGGGACATCTTAAGAAGATGACCACGGACGAGAGTGCCAACCAGAAAGATGAGAAAATAGAAAATTCAACTCCAAAAGATTTAGACAACGTGAGCGAAATGATAGACATGAATATAATTGATACGACAAAAGTCGAATCAATCACTGCCGACCTGCCACCAATCGAAGGATCGTTGAACTTGGATCCTTCTCTGCATGGTATAGATCTTCAGGTAAAAGTTTCATTAGATGATACTTCTAAATAAAAGCTTAAAATTATTTATATGAATCAATTTTAAAAAATAAATTATGTTTATTTTATGTTAAATTTCTAACAATTTTGACTTTAGAACATTATTAAAATCAAATTACATTAAAATTAATAAGGATTTTCAAATTACATCTTAACCAAAAACACATATGTAAAGCCTCATATGCTAAGAAGTCTCACACAGTTTCTCAAAAGAGTTTAACTAATGTCAAGCATCATTACACCATTCTTTGCCATAGATCTATGCTCTGTGTTGTTAAAGATTATAAGTCTGATTGTGTATGATGTTTGTAACAAAATGAATATTTTAAATTAAAAGTCTTTTCTTTCCTTGTCAAATAATACATTGCTATAATGAACACTTTAAAAATGATACTTTTGTCATTCATATAATTTGTATTTATATGTTCATCAGTAGAGAGGTTCTCGGATAAGAAGTCATTTCTTGACTTCCTTTCTTGTATTTCCTGTTTACTAACTTTACTGTTTTGAAAACAGATCAGAAAACAAAGTCATAGAGTGTCTCAAACTGTGTCACTATCACTCAAGTTTGGATTGTGCATCTGTCATTTCTTAAGATTGTTTTCATAGCAACGCTCTTTCTGCAGTTTCTCCAACTTTGTCTCTACTTCTTTCTCAAGAATCTACAGGATGGTCCATTGACTTCACACTTCCTATCTTGACCCTCTTCCCAAGAAAGTTAATTCATGTAACTCTATCTCTTGATTCAGCAGATGGTGTCTACTTTGCCAAGAGTCTATACTTCTAACTACATTTATTTACATCAAATATTTACAGGAAACTGTTTACCATATTATATGTGGACGCTATATGACCAATAACTTGGGAGGATTCTTTTAGCATCTCATTCCATTGTGTATTTTCTTCTCACAGTCCCTTATTTTTAAGTTGGATGTCCCAATCAACCAAAAGATCAGGATTCCAGTGAGTGATGAGAGTGTTGTTGTTTGTAGCACTCAGGTGCTAAAGATAAAGGTGTGGCCAGATCAATTCACTTACATGTACAGTGGAACCTCTATATTTGTCATTAATCTGTTCCTAAGGATCTAACGAATATGGAATATGACGAATATAGAAACAATTTTTCTCAAAATAAATAAGTGATATTCAATTAATCCATTGCCATCCTGAAAAAATGTACAAGAATAAAAATTATGTTGTTTGTAAAACTTTATCTTTATTGTACTAAATAAATACATTATTAGTGGTAGAAGAGGAAGAACAGTATTATTGTTTAGAAGACATATCAATTAAAAAATTAGGCAATTCCAATTATGATCATGGGGTCTGTTTTGCCAATGATTCAGTAGCACTCGATTTAATAAAGAACTTGTCCAGTGTTGTGTGTTTTTGTCTGCTTTTTAAAACTTTTCTGAAGTAGGCAATTACATTATCATTGAATGTATTTTTATTTTGGTTGACTATAGCAACATTTGGGTACCACTTTGGAGTGATTGGAACCTGGTTTCTCGCATTGATTATTTTTCAATAACTCAACAACAACACAACAACCGCACAAAGCACACTGATTAACTATATCTAGCTAACACAGCTAGCTGATCGGCGCAGGCATGCGATTGTAATGCCACTTCTGGTGTTGGAAATGACAACGAATACAGAAAGTACTGACGAATATGGAAAAATATAAAAAGTCATCAAAATGACAAATATTGAATATTGCAAATATAGAGGTTTCACTGTAAATGGTTTATAGGATTGTTTACATGCTCCCTAACAAAGAAGTCATTATCACATTAACTTTGTATACATTTTTAAATATTATAAAACCTTCCACTCTTTTTCTAGCAATTTCTTTAATCAAACTAATGTTTTTGGCTATATTTAATGGCCTTCCTCAGGTTTTTCAATATTGGAACATCAGATATTTGAAATTTGTTTTTGTTCTAATGACGTCATTGTTTTTACAAAAATTTTTTTTAAAATTACAATAATTAAATATACACGGAAATAGATAAAATTAAAACACAATTAATTAATAAATGTAAATGGATAACAAATTGGAGTTATACATTAATCCGTTTTCGTTCTTATGACGTCAATGTTTTTACAAAAATTATTTTATTTTAAATTACTATCATTAAACACTGAAATAGATTAAAAACACATTTAACTAATAAATATGTAAATGGATAACAAATAACAGAAAACAACTATTGCCGATAGGATTAAAATATTTATAAATTCGTAAGATTGCGATGTCACATATCACTTGAGAGATAGATGGGTTAGCCCACTTCCTTTAGGGGATTGTCAATGAGTGATTGCCTAGCTGTAGATAGCAAGTCTGCATCTCTGCTGTTAATGGAATTTTCTTTGAGGGATTTCACAAAGATTTCCAGTGTTTCTATTGTTCTTAGTTTGCTGTTATCGAGTATTGGTATTATAATCTTAGCTTCTTCCCATTTAGCTGTTATGCCTGGCTCACTTGCATATTGGGCTAGGGTGGTACTAAATTTTTTATTCTGCATATCATACTTATGCTCCACTATCCTTTTTGTTAATGATCTGTTGGTTGAGCCTATGTATGTTAACTTTTTGTTCCTATTAAATCTGTTGTCATCCAGTGGTATCGAGTGTACTCCAGGTTTTCTGGCTTTGCTGCATTTATCTTTGGTATTGGTCAGAAGTTTATATATTGAAGGGTTATGTTTGTAGGATAGATCTGCTTTGACCTTCTTGGCTATGATTTTATAGGTTTGTCTCATTCTAAGGTCAAATCAAAATCAACTACTATGCATTTTCATTGCTATTTAAGAGATTTGATATTTACGGCTTCTGTTTCTAGGTTACCTTGTATTTTGTGGGCTAGCTTTTCTATTAACTTACTGCTGTAACCATGGGCTATGGTGATGTGTTTAATGTGTTGTATTTCTTGTAATACATTCTTAATGTTAGAGGAATGGGTAAAAGCTCTTCTGATCAGAGCCCTGTACACTGCTATTTTATAAATGAGGGGATAAAGAAAGATTTTAGATTAGGCTTATGGTATACCTTTGTAGCTATACAACCATTTCCCGTGTGTATCTGGAGGTCGAGGAAATGGGTTGTCTTATCACTTCCTTGATCTAATTTTAACATAAGCCCAAACGTTTTGTCATTGGTAGTCTGCAATATTCTGTCTATATCTCCAGATAATAAGAACATCATTGACATAACATGTGTATAATATGATCTCTGAGCTGAAGTTTTCTAGGAATTATTCTCAAAGTTATGAAATAGCCAAATATTTTTTATTTAGAAAATTGTCAAATGTGTGTGTGTGTGTGTGTATATATACATTATATATACAAGGGGGCTTCAACAAGTTCATGGAAAAAGGATAGTATGAAAAAATGATTTCAGTTATGATGTTTATTTTTCAACATATGCTCCATTAAGGTCGATACACTTCTGCAAATGTTGATACCAGCCTTTAAATTCGTCTGAGTAGAACTGAGGGTGTTGTGATCTGAACCATGTTAGAACAGCTCTTTTTACATCTTCAACTGATGGAAAATCGGTAACTTTTAGCGACTTATCCATTTGTAGATTGTTGACTTCTTTGGAGTGTTATCACCATAAACTTGTTTCAGAGCATCAATGATTTGCCTATTCTCTCAACCAAGTTTCACCATGAACTTTATGTTTGTTCTGGTCTCAATTTTGGTGGATTTCATGTTCCTTGAATGGTGCTTGACTTTCAACTGGCGGTGATGTGTTCTTACCTGTATTTAAGAGTTCATGTTTGAACATGTTATAACACATTGGTACAAGAATGTTCAGGTGCATTGAAATCAAAATCCTTTCAAACAATTTTTAGTTACGGACTTTTTCCACAAACTTTTCAAAGCACCCACGTACATTCACGTAAAGAATGCTACCATTTTAAATTATTGTATGTTAATTACTAGGTATTTTCTAGGAAAACAAAACTGAGCTCTACGGCATAGATTTTTCTGTTTCAGCTTGACACAAAAACACAAATGTTGTGGCATGCTTCTAATGTTTTCTCTGCAAGATTGAGGAGGACGTGCATGTCCATTGTCATAACTGCCAAAAACATCAAGAAATGTTAATACATCTGCATATGTTGCCAGTGTTCTACCAACTCCAGCAACTGGTTAAAACGTGCACATGTGTTGCTGCAGGACACACGTGTGTGTTTTGAAAAATTGATTTTGTCAGCGCATCTTGCATGTTAAATTTCTGTTACAAAGGTCAAAATAAAAATTTTCATAGAAATCAATGTAAATTGACAGCAGTTGTAAACTCAATTAACAGGTAATTTGTAACTAGTTTATGACTGGCAATTGGCCCATAAACTTTACATTGCAGATTTTGACCTGGAATATGTTAGCCCATAGATCAAATTTGAAAATTCCAACTTTATTACATCAGCCTTGCTGAGTTGTATGTGTTTGCAAAAATCATGTTTAATGTCGTGCAGTTGCTTTAAACTTCAATCAGACAAAATACTTTCTGATTTATGCAGAACTTTGCTTATTCTCTGCTCAGTTATCCAAGAATGTTGTAATTTATATTAAAATATTGGAAAATCAGCCAAGTTTCACATTTGTCCATTATAGTCTCTCAATGAGTGCACCTCATGTCAAATGGCACATGCCTGACCAATGCTCAAATTAGTCGTAAGCTTGCTATGGCATATCCATTGTCACTACTCCCATGGCAGCCACAATTCTATCACTACTGCAGATTACTCACGTTCACAATGACAAGTGATTTCAACTTTGCAAACTGCAGAACACAAAACGCCTTCTCTGTTGCATACTTGCTACTTTCATTTACAGTGTTTCTTAGAAATGGTAGATAACAAGACATTTGAATGCAGACGGCAGACAAAATTAGGACAGTTATTCTGTCAATTGGTGTACATTGCATACTTTTTGGATAGTAATTAACATAATTACTAGTGTTGCCACAAATAGTATATTTGGCCAAACTATTCGGCTTGATTAACGCACATACGAAAATTGGCGCGCAAACCACATTATGGCAAGGACCCTGCTCTCTATTGGCTCGCTGTCGCTAAGCTTCACCAATTGCATTAATTCTTGACAGTTGTAGTGAACAGACAAGTGCATCATGGCAGTATGTGATAAATGATGATATCAAATATGGATAACAATGAAATGACCTACATGTATAAATAACGGAAAAAGAACAGAGAAGGACCGCGAAATGAAAATGTGAAAATAAATATGAAATTGAGTTGATAACATAATCGAACAAGTCAAGGCAGCTTATTGGCGCAAAATTCACAGCCGTCAATGCCAAACAATTGTTGTCATAGACTTCGGAAAGCGAAATGCTTGTAATGAAAGTCACTTAGCATGCACGGGCGAAAGCCTGGGGCCATTCGGGCTACCAAGATGTCTTGAATCTGTGAAATCATAACTGTGACTTATACCGACATCCTATCTGTCTCTTTTCTCCATTATCACCAGGCTATGAGTCACATAATTGTAAAATGGGAAATCTACGAAGGAAAAGTGACAAATCGAAAGTATCGTGCGTGCGTATTATGATGTATGCATAGGCATACATCATAATACGCACTCACATGGACTAGAGCAATAGAGGAAAGAGAAAGGGAAGAGCAAAGACGAGCACTTAAAAAGAAGGATAGGCAGGGTCAGACCCTCAGATGTACGACGATTCTCGAACGAATAGGTGTGTACGTGTGCTGATCTTTGTAATTATAAATTGTGAATACATGTGACTAATATTAGTTTCTTTTTTATTTTGTGCATGTTATAAGTTATAAATAAATATAAACAAACAACACTAACCTGATAACATTAAATCTAAATACCAAAATGATTAATTTACTGTGTTTTTTATTATTTCTTACTCCTGTTTTTAGGTATTTGGTATTTGGCCGAATAGCGAAATATAGGCCGAATACTGAATAGTAATCAAATATTTGTTACATCACTAATAATTACAATTTAAACTGGGAGAATTCTTTTTGAAAGACTGTATTTATAAAATTACACAAACACACCTTTCATACTTTTCCAGCACTAACTTTAATCATAGAACAAATGTTTTTGTACAATTTACAAGCCTGATTCAGGTTAGGAGCCATTCCAAAGGGCTATGTTGAGTTATAAAGTAGAACAATTTAAATTCACACATTACAATTTGGTATTTATACATTAAATAGAAATCAAAAATTATATTGGATAATTATATAAATTAAATTAAATTATAATAAATGTGTATATAAATTTATATAAATCTTAACCACAAAGAAATGGAGGATTCATAATAAGTTAAGGCGCTCTATTGGTGATGCAAAGACCTTTGATTGCTACCGACAAAATCCTAAAATTAGTTTGCATTATAAGTAAGTCAGCACTGTTGTCTGTTAAGGTGGCAAAAGTCAAAACTTCTGCCACTCTCAATATTTTGTTATATATAGATTCAAAATCAAGATGAAGAATTGGATATACCAGTCCACACATTTACAGATCAGCAGACCTAATGTCTCTGAGGTCGGATTGCATGAGGATTGGACTGACCACACGTGGCTGTTGTGACTACAGAAATTGACTTGGTTGCTTGTCTTTATGCTTGGTTCACTTTTGTGGACAACACTCTGCTGGATCTTGTGCAGTTGGCCATTCTAGAGCGTGCACTTGCATGCCTTGATATATGCAGTGATCATTTTGAGTATCTTCTTATGTAAGCATAATGTCATATGCAAGTATTGACGTTCACGTTTCCAGTAAAGCTCATTTTTGTGCACCGGATGTGATGTCATACTTCTTTTCTTATTTTTCTTGAAAACTATGGATTGTAGAGATATGGTTCTTGGGTTGTTTTTTATGTACTTCAAGTGAGGATTCTCACTCTGCAGAGTTTAAGCAGTCTTGATGGGATACCCTGTAGATTAGTGTCATGGATAAATATTATACATTATTCAAATCTAATATTCAAGTTTAGAGGATCATCATCGCTTGAAGATTTTTCTTTAACATGGGTGTATTGTAGCTTTGTTTTCCTCTTCATGTCAAAGAAAGTTCCTCTAGAGGTGATGATGAATCCTTTAGGCTAACTGTGGATAATAATTTGAAGGATACGCTGTAATTTTTATCAGAGATTAAAAAAAAAGAGCAAATTCTGAACATTTGTACTAATCTAATTTTAAACATTGCATGTATACTATTAATTTTTCAAGAAAATTCTCTACTAAACTCATTTTATATTTTTAGAAAGGAATCTGGGAAGAACTCTGTGATGATCGTCTTCAGTTTCTACACGACGCATTGTCTCCTTCCACTCCGTCTCCTACGCTCGAAAGCGACTGCGAGAAACAAGTATTATCGCCGGATACAAAGAGCTTGTCATTTGTACATGGTAATTACATTTACAGCCACGCCGACGACGACAAAACACTTAATTCCTTAAACACTAGCCAGCAGTTATTATTAAAATTACCATCTGTTACAGAGATCTCAGATGATATTGAAACCAAATGTAGTTCGTAAAATTACAAATTTTTAAATACTACAAAAAAAAAAAAATTACACACATTCCATCAAATTTCGACCAAAAAAAAAAAAATTCAATCGGCCGTCCACACGGGGATAAAAGAGTGCCTTTTTTTGTCCAGTTTTTATCCAGGGATTAAGCATTGATTCGTAGAGATTAATGTATTTGGGATAGCCATACATTTGCAGCTCATTTTTTATGATCTCATTATGATTTTTGTAGATAGGCATTTTATTGAGGTACCGGTTCTGCAACCATCTCAACTAGAAAAACGAATCCATAATTCATTTTACTCGTGCATTTTAACGCTAAAATTTGAAAGAATATTTGAATAGCGGGACCAAAACATTCTAGTTACTCTGATTCAGAGATAAAAATTCGTGTAAATTAGTGTTAAAAAGTTAAATTTTTTTACATTGTAAATAATCATTAAAATCATTTAGGAGGTACTATCAAACACACATTTTTTTTTTTTTTTTTTTTTTCATTTTTATTTTTTAGCCTTAAAAATTTTGCAAAGAGCCATCGTAAATTATACTTTTTACCAGATGTTTTCATATAATCATTATTTATTTCATTTAAAAAATATCAGACATTTTTTCAATCTTTATTTTAGCAAAGCAATAAGCAATATAGAGTTTGTATATGATTAAACATGATTAAGAATTTGATCAAAAACTCTTTTAAAAATTCTTTTCGTAACAATATCTTTATCTAAGCTCACGGAGATGAAAAATATGAAGCATTTGAACGTAGATTATATAGAATTTTGGATAATTCGTTAGTATAAACAGGTTCGTATTATTGTGTCATTGAATATATATATATACACATATAGACAGTTTTTTATCTCCTTGGGAGAAAATAAAAACCTTTAATGAGCTTGCATAATAATAAAACTTAAAAAATCAGATACAGTAAAACTTCTGTAACTTAAATTTTTATTCCAAAATTACTAAACTTGACTAAAATGTAAAAAAAAAAAAAATTATTAATGTCGAACTCCTATCAATCAAACCACTCAGTGCAATTTATACGGTATACTATTAAACTGAACTATATAAAAGTAAAATGGTTGGATTATTAGAAATTTTAGCTTACAAGTACTGTTTCTAAACTTAATATTGACACCAATGGTCTTTAAACTACTCTGAAACAAAGTTTACGCATCAAAAAATTAATTAATTAAAAGCTTAGTTGTCAATTTTGAGTGTGAGTTCTCTATTATCATCTGTCTTATAAATTTGATTAAATATATTAATGAGATGTCTTTAATGCATTTTCTATTGACAGCTGGATGGCCAAGCAGTTAAGGTGGCAGCTTATCTATCTGGGGGGGCCCTGGATCGAATTTGGATGGGTCAAAAAACCCAAGGAATTCTTTGGGGGTGATCTGTCTGGTATGTCAGGTCCCATCAGGTCCTGTACCTCGCCACAGGCCACCCAATTGGGGCATGGCCAAATCCATAATGGGCTTGCTAAAAAGGCCCTCCTAGTGCCCACGAGGCAGAAAGAGTTTTAAGTGCAATTTCTATGACGGATGCTTGTATAAGACTATTTAACAGTTTATTTTTGGATTTTGATGCCATTTGAAAATTTAAGTAATTATTTGGAACATTGAAATTACTTTCCAAATTATTATTAAATTCCAGATAATTTGAATGCGTTAACATTGCAACAAATTCACTTGCGTTAGGTTCCTTTAACAGCAAAAAATGCTATTTATCTGAAAACTGGAAGTATAATTCTTCTCTAATTACATTCCTTCAGTTTCTGAAATTAATTTGGTTCAAGCTACTTTGATCAGAAATGGAAAAGTGTTTATTACGAGCTCATTGGCTAGTAAATTTGATGAATATACATCATATATTTTAAATGGAAATAAACTGAACTGACTAAAATTTTAGCTCAGAAGAGTGGAGTGTGTCAGAAGCTCGTAAAATGCTCTTACTGTCTTGCAGGTTGGATCATTCAGTTTAAACGTTAGCTAATCTGTTTTGCAAAAAATGTAATTTTTCAAGAAAACACTCCAACTTTTCAGAAATCCACAAATAAACATACTTTAATGACATCAAAAATCAACATGTTGTACACTACGGTCTTGTTTTATGCAGCATTTAGGTGTCGACAGGTACTTCATAAAACAAAATCTCATGTAAATTTGTGCACCATACCAGTAGTCCCAGACAGTACCTACACACTTATTCAACTATTTACAATTAACAGAAAAACTTTGAAATGTGTTTAAAATAATTTTACTCAAGCTTTTACCTACATTATCATACATTTTAGTCCAATTTTTCTGAATGTTTACAGTAAAATTTTAATATAATATATTAAAATTTATATATATAATAAATAAATATTATATATATCTGGTACACTAATTGATAAAATATATGCATGTCACCCTCCCATTGTGGTTATGGTTTTGTTAGTAATCAAAAGTTTTAGTTTCATACAACTGGGATATTGTTTTTGGTGTGAAGTTTTCCATAACCAATAGAACTTTTTGCTCAGTTTCTTCCCGATTTGACGAGCTTTTTTGTTGGCTATGTCTCTTATTTTATCCAATTGTTGGTATAAAATTTCTGCATCGCACTGTTTTACGAAGCGTAGATAGGCCAAGTACAATTCTTTTTCTTTTCCTGCTATTTATTGCTTTTCGTTTGCTCTTAATTAATTATGCCAGAAGTCTTTGAGGTAACAGGGTTCTAACTTCATTAGGGAATGAGTCATACTTAAGCACTATGCATTTGGGGATGAGATGTGTTATAGCTGTTATGTAGAGGCTCTCCTAAATTTATTTGGGAGAACCTCTACATAACAGCTATAACACCCTGCAACACCTCAACCCTTGAAATCCTACAATTATGGGCTAATTATTCAAATAATTCAATCAACAATTTTAATCCTTTTTTTGCATAAACAGGTTTGCTTTTGTTTTTGCTTTTGCACACTATTTAAATCTTGGGAAATTACACCACTCAATATTACCATATATTTTTAAAACATTGTTTTTATTCAAATTCATTTTATATTCCATCCACGTGCTATATTTCATTTTCAAATATTGTTTGAAAACGTAAAATTTGATAGCTGTTGTATTCAATATTCGCTTGATGATGGTAACTTTATGCTACTGAAAGTACTAGTGAACATTTTCATACACTAAAAGTTGATATTGGTAATGCCACAACACTTAAGTGTAGTTATTATATATTCAAAAGTTGGCATGAAGTGTAAATTATTTTATTTTAGTATGGAATCTACTACAGCACACTTCTTTTTATTATTGAATACAAGAATTTTATGGTTAAAGCAAAAAGCACAGCTATTGTTTCTACTAAAGTGTCGTAAGACACATCTCATCCCAAAATGCATAGTGCTTAAGTACAACTCGTTCCCTAATGAAGTTCCAACCCTGTTACAAATTTTGAACAAAGACTTCTGGCAAAATTAATTAAGAGCAAACAAAAAGTAATAAATAGCAGGAAAAGAAAAAGAATTATACCTGGCCCATCTACGCTTTGTAAAACAGTGTGATGCAGAAATTTTATATCAACAATTGGATAAAATAATAGACATAGCCAACCAAAAAGCTCATCAAACCAGGAAGAAACTGATCAAAAATTTCTGTATGATGTTGTGCATGCACAATTTTTTTTCTGCATTAGAATCTTCTATTTTCATTTCATTTTGGTAATTTTCTCTCAAAAGTAGAGGTGTAGAAAATTGCTTTTAATTTTATATCATTACACTTGTTTCACAATGAATCTTACAATAAAAATAGTCTGCGTGTGCATTAATTTGTCAGAATTACTCTGACGAACCCAAGGGGTAAATATGTCCATGTAAACAAGAATCCACATACAGTATATCAATCCTGTGTAATATTTTTCTATAAAATCAATTAAATCCATCTTTGGGGACACTTTTACAATATTTGTATTCTAAGAACTGTTTTTTGGTAATAAGCTCCCTCAAAGGATTTAATTAGTCTGAAAGAACTGAAAGATGTTAGGTGTTGATTTCTATATATGTTAAAGTAGGTTTCTTTATGGATTTGTAATTGTTTCCATTCTCCACTTTGTTTCATTAATTTGTTACGTTTAAAATCAGTTTAGTTTCTTATTCGCAGGGTATTTGTTACTAAGAAAAGTACAGTTCTCTGAACCAATTGCAAATCAATGATAATTGTTCTCGTATAATTCATAATTTATATTCTCGTAGTGTTTTGTGAATCATACATGCTTTAAATCAATATCTTTCTACCACGAAATTAACTATTTTACATACATGTTTGATAGTTACAAAAAAATATGAATATTTTCAAAATAATAATTATTTAGTAGCATAAATAATAGCATATTTTTTTTTTTATAAAATATACACACAATACATTACAAAGTAATTAAATATATAGAGTAAAAAATTTAATTTAATTTATAGAATTAAATTAAATTTTTATAGACAAAATTGTGTTTAAATATTCTTAAAATGGTTTTATTAATTGAAATTAAAATGAATTAGAAAATTGATCATTTATTCTAAAGAATTGGCTTTTATAAATTTGATAATTCTCCTTGTAGATGCTTAATGCTTTGTACAGGCATTTCAAAAGAAAATTTTAAGATTTATTTTTATTTTCATTCTAAGTACAGCTGTCCCTTGATAGTCCGACGTTTTGTAATCCGACATGCTCAGTAGTCTGACGCATCTCTCATCAAGGTACCCATCCCCGTTACGTGTCTGCTTGCACAGAAGCATGTTGCGACATGAATCTCCCCATCCAATTCTTACACGATGACACACATTTCGCGTGTTTTCCGTGAGCAGTTCTGTTTGAACAATTGGAGTAGGGAATATTGTAGACTACTGCTAGCAAAACAATGCCAAATATGTAATCACTTTTGGTAATCCGACACCCCTTTGGTCCCATACCTTTCGGATTATCAAGGGACAACTGTAATTGAAATAATGAATAGAATTCATACAAATAGCATCAGTACGTATGGTTAGATTACATCCATTAATTACAAGTCCAGTTTTTGAGCTGCTTTTTCCCTCCCTTCCCATAGTGTACAAGTA